AAACGCCCATGACAATGCAGAGACACTCGTTTTGTGTGAGAAGTGTAAAACACCATTGTGCATGACACCATGTTTCAGAGATTTTCACAGGCTGCAGAACTTCTAAAAACATGTCCTGTGACTGTATATGTGTATATAAAATATAGAAAAATAGTAATAAACAACATTTTGGATTGTTCATTTGTGTAAGTATGCTTTATAAACAAAATAGTGACAACAGTGTTTATGCAGTTATTGTGTAGTATAGAAAAAGAAATAACTTACAAAATAGTGCTCATATTGGTCTCGCAGGCCATAAAAGTTACTTGGGAAAAAAAATAAAAAAATAATATAAAATAATACGTAAAAAATTAAATAAAGTAATACCAGGTGACTGGCAGTCAGTGATGTTACTGTATGCTGGTCATTTTCTGTCAACTTCACGCCTCCATATCTCGGTAAGTATTGAAGGTAAAAATTTTTTGTTTAGCCTATAAAATTCAGAAAAAAAACACTATCTTTTCATAAGAATTCTTTTTTTTTTTTTTTTTTTTTTTACCGACCCTGAGAACAGGTTTGGGAGAGGGCCTGCCGACGCTGAAAGGGATAAAATCACTTTTATCTTTATTGACGACTGTTGTTGGCTTATGGAAGACGGCAAGGAGGGGAGAGGGAGGAGAGGTTATTGTTTGGAAAGGGAATCCCCTTCTGTAAGGACTTCAGGTATCAAAGCCCTATCTAGGGTTACTTCCCTTCTTTGCCTTTTACTGGCACTAGGACCAGCTTGAGAGTCACTGCATCATTGTCACACAAAAAATCTGTCCAGAGAAGCCTGTTTCTGGCGTCTCTTTAAGATTTGCCTAAAATGGAACACGGGATTGTCATTGAACATGTTGCAGAAACAGCTTTGTTAGGGTGATATTTCTCCACAAAACTTCGCACAGATGTCCTTAATTGCTGAAAAAAGTACATTCTCCTCTCTCTTCCTCCTCCTCTGAAGCAATTTTCTCAGCTTAGGTCTGTTGCTGTTCCAGATGAAGGTCTTGCAGCTCTTCAGTGGTTAGCTCTTCCCTGTGGTCATCTACCAACTCTTCCACATCCTGGTCACTCACCTCCAACCCCATGGACTTTCCAAAAGACACAATAGATTCCACAGCAGGCATAGGGTCATCAGGGTCAGCCTCAAACCCTTCAAAATCCTTCTTTAGGACACTTTCTGGTCACAATTTTCTCCAAGAAAAGTTAATCGTCTTGGAAGTCACTCCCTGCCAAGCCTTAACAAAGGCCGACTGAGTCATGAACGTATGAGCGGTCGCATCCCACGGGCAGGCGACACGTCTGGTATGAACAATTTCCAAGCGGACGTACAAAAAGGGGGAAAATTTCGCCGAAAAAGTGGTCAGAAACTGAACTGTATGATAATCTGACCAGACAAAAGCCGGGGTTCCACTGTATTTGGTTTAAAATAGGACTCAAATTGGACAATGGTGATGCAGCAAAATCCATGGTAGTGTAATTTTGTCATTTTTCCATCAAATTTTGTATTTTTTTTGCTTATTACCTTCAGAAAAAGATTCTCTACCATTTCATAAGAAAAAATAACAATTTTTTTTTAAAATTCATTGACCCTGTGGACAAGTTGCAAGGAGGAAGCTGGAGGTACTGGAGATATTGTGTCTCAGGGCAATGTGTGGTGTAAATATTGTGCAGATAATTTGTAGTGTGGAAATTAGGAGGAGGTACTAAAAGTATTAGTCACAGGGCTGAAGAGGGGTTGTTGAGATGGTTTGGTCATTTAGAGAGGATGGAACAAAGTAGAATGACTTTGAGAGTGTATAAATTTGTAGGGAATGGAAGGCAGGGTAGGGGTTGTCCTAGGAAAGGTTAGAGGGAGGAGGTAAAGGAGGTTTTGTGGGCAAGGGGCTTGGACTTCCAGCAGGCGTGCGTGAGCGTGTTAGATAGGAGTGAATGGAGACGAATGGTACTTGGGACCTGACGATCTGTTGGAGTGTGAGCAGGGTAATATTTAGTGAAGGGATTCAGGGAAACCGGTTATTTTCATATAGTCGGACTTGAGTCCTGGAAATGGGAAGTACAATGCCTGCACTTTAAAGGAGGGTTTTGGGATATTGGCAGTTTGGAGGGATATGTTGTGTATCTTTATACATATATGCTTCTAAACTGTTGTATTCTGAGCATGAGTATGTTAGATAAGAGTGAATGGAGACGAATGGTTTTTAGGACCTGACGAGCTGTTGGAGTGTGAGCAGGGTAATATTTTGTGAAGGAATTCAAGGAAACAGGTTAGCCGGACTTGAGTCCTAGAGGTGGGAAGTACAATGTCTGTTTGGAGGGACATCTAAACTGTTATGTGTAAGAGCCTCTGCAAAGACAGTGATTATGTATGAATGATGATGATAATGTTGAATGATGAAAGCTTTTTCCTTCTTTTTGGGTTTTTTCTTTCTTTTTAGGTCACCCTGTCTCGGTGGGAACAGCTGACATGTTAAAAAAAAAATGTACAGTGGACCCCCGGTTCACATCATTCATCCGTTCCTGAGAGCTCATCGTAAAGCAAAATCGGAAAGCGAGTCAATTTTCCCCATAAGAAATAATGGAAATCAAATTAATCCGTGCAAGGCACCCAAAAGTATGAAAAAAAAACTTTTACCACATGAAATATTAAGTTTAATGCTATAGAATAATTACAATAGCAATAATAAAAATAGAATAAACACAATAGAATAATTGACACTTACCTTTAATGAAGATCTGGTGATGATTGATGGGATGGGAGGAGGGGAGAGTGTCGAAGTTTTTAATGTTTAGAAGGGAATCCCCCTCCATTAGGACTTGAGGTAGCAAGTCCTTTTCTGGGGTTACACATAAGAAGGTAAGCCTGTCTTTCATAGGCTTATGTCCTGGGAGTGCCTTTTCCTCCTGAGTAATGTAGGTCCTGCTTGGCAATTTCTTCCAAAACAGGCCTGTTTCATCACAATTAAACATTTGTTCAGGTTTCAATCCTTCAGCCTCTATATACTCCTTGAATTCATGCACATATTTTTCAGCCGCTTTCTGGTCTAAACTGGCAGCCTCACCATGCCTAATCACACTATGTATGCCACTACGATTGTTAAATCTTTCAAACCAACCTTTGCTGGCCTTAAATTCACTCACATCACCACTAGTTGCAGGCATTTTTCTAATTAAATCCTCATGCAACTGCCTAGCCTTTTCACAAATGATCACTTGAGAGATGCTATCTCCAGCTATCTGTTTTTCATTTATCCACACCAGTAACAGTCTCTCAACATTTTCTAACACTTGCGATCGCTGTTTTGTAATCAGTTGCACCTTTTGCAAGAACAGCTTCCTTCATTGCCGTTTTCCTGCTCACTATAGTAGAGATGGTTGATTGGGATTTACTATACAACTTGGCCAGGTCCGACACACGCACTCCACTTTCATACTTTGCAATTATCTCTTTCTTCATTTCAATAGTCATTAGCACCCTTGGTCTCGAAGGGTTGGCACTAGGAGCTTTCTTGGGGCCCATGGTGACATTTTGCAGAAACAAGCAACAAAAACAGTGATAATATGGATAATATGGAATGTACCGAATGTATCCTTAGATGCGCGCGCACTGGCTGGCTTGTAAACACTGGCACACACGGGGCAGTTCAGGCCACATGTGGACACATCTCGTACGAATCGTATCGCGTACCGGGTTTTGTTACGGGAGCCGGGGCAATTTTTTGGCGATATAACGCTTCGGATACCGGATTTATCAGTTACCGGTGACTTTGCGTACCGGGGGTCCACGGTATATGGTGGCACCAACACTCTCATATGGGTGTGAAGCATGAGTTGTGAATACTGCAGCATTCTTGTCTAGTGGCAAGATGGTATCCTACAGCCTTAACCCTTTCACGGTCCTCGCCATAGTTCTATGGCTTTGAAGCCAGGGTTCGTACCGTAGTACGTACTACATGAGCTTAGCGCACACAAATAAGCTGTGAGTGGTGAATTTAGGACTAAATATGATAGAATGGGTCGATGCAATAAGTGTGCACCATATGAAATAAGTCTTGCAGCACACTGTGCATAATGAGGAAAAAAAACTGTGACCATGTTTTTGATTTAAAACAGCAACTTTGCAGTGCATATTCGTATGGATTTTATGGTTGTAGTCTCGGTTTCTTGGCCTCATTTGATAGATCTGAAGATATATTACAGAAATAGAGATGATTTTGATGGTTTTGAGAGCTGAAAATAAATTGAAATTGAGCTCAGAGTAGAAGAAATGTTAGATTTTTGCCAATGTTCAAGAGTAAACAAATCATGTCAATTGGTGGGTGTAATGTGCACTCACAAATGTACTGATATTATTTATGCAATTATTAGAATATTGCATAACGGTAAATCTTGTATTATTTGTGTGAAAAAATAAATATTTAATTCATGTGTAAAGCCTGGAAATGTAACTAATGAACAGAGGAAATGTTATTTTAGTGCCAGGATTGCCTGCATGGTTTATTCTGGACTCTATTTTGAAATTGGAATATTTTGAAATCTGTCAAATTGGCCAAGTTACTAATTTCTGATCACTTTGTTGGGTAGTTGTTATGCATAGTTGATTGGGCAGTTTTTTCTGCTCAGTCAATAAAATAGAAGGCATACTAGCAAAATAGCTAAGAATTTTGTCAACTGGAAAAATGTAATTGGCCTAAAGTAAGATTCAAAGTGGGCAAAATCGCCGATGTGTAAATATTGCTGACACACCAAAATTTGCAATAGCGTAATTTTGTCAATTTTCCATCAGATTTCGTACTTCTTATTTTATTACATTCAAAAGAAGATTCTCTGCCATTTCATAAGAAAAAAATAACAAATTTTTATTTTTTTAAATTCTTGGACCCTGTGGACAAGTTACAGATTGGGGGTCTGGACCCTGAAAGGGTTAATGACCCTAGTGTAGTTGACAGACTTTAAGCCCCATTAACCATTATATTTTCTTTCAGGAGGAAAAAGCAAAATTAAGACTGCAGTTTGAAGGAGCGGCTCCTATTTTAGATCCTGAGATCATTGTAGATACCTTGACAATAGATCCAGGATATCATCAACATTTTCTTTCATGGAGGGGGGAAGTCCTCCCTCAAATTAGGGATGAATGCATAGGAGTGACTATTTCTTTCCCACGGTTGGGTCTTCACGATGACAAGGCAAGTACCCATGATGAGTTTAAAAGCTTACTACTCCCAGTAATCCATCTTAGTTTTTAGCAATGTTTTACTTTGCTGTTTAGCTGGTGTTCTTGCAAACTATTTTATTGCTGTTGTAAGAAAAGAAATCAACGTTGGTTGCAAATTATATGAATAAATGGACTAAGGATAATTTGACTTTTAGTTGTAGTGCTCTGTTTTTGTGTGAAAGTAATCATCCTGTATAATAATGTGTTACTAAATTGTCTGAAGTATGCACAGAGACAGAGACAGCAAAGACATAGGCACAGAGACAGACATACACATAGACACAGCAGGAGCAATGAATCGACCCCTACAACCACAATTAGGTGAGCGCGCATGTGCGCGTGCACACACAATTAGGTGAGTACACGTGCACACACATGCACACACACACATCGGACTGACGACACTGGAGGACAGAAGGGTCAGGGGAGACATGATAACGACATACAAGATACTGCGGGGAATAGAACAAGGTGGACAGAGATGGGATGTTCCAGAGAGGGGACACAGGGACAAGGGGTCACAACTGGAAGCTGAAGACTCAGACGAGTCACAGGGACGTTAGGAAGTATTTCTTCAGTCATAGAGTTGTCAGCAAGTGGAATAGCCTAGCAAGTGAAGTACGTAGTGGAGGCAGGAACCATACATAGTTTTAAGAAGAGGTATGACAAAGCTCAGGAAGCAGAGAGAGAGAGGACCCAGTAGCGATCAGTGAAGAGGCTGGGCCAGGAGCTGAGTCTCGACCCCTGCAACCACAATTAGGTGAGTACACACATGCACATACGAGATTGGAGAAAGGGATTACATAGTAGGTACAGTTCAGTCAGGGGAACACAAGGTAGTCATTGCAGTTATGTATAACCCACCACAGAACTGCAGGAGGCCAAGAGAGGAATATGATGAATGCAACAGAGCAATGGTGGACACACTAGCTGAGGTGGCAAGAAGGGCCCACTCAAGTAGAGGGAAGTTACTGGTCATGGGCGACTTCAATCACAGGGAGATTGATTGGGAAAACCTGGAGCCACATGGGGGCCCCGAAACATGGAGAGCCAAGATGGATGTGGTGCTGGCAAATCTCATGCACCAACATGTTAAGGAAACTACCAGAGAGACAGGGTAGGATGAACCAACAAGACTGGACCTCTTGTTCACCCTGAGTAGCTCAGACATTGAGCACATCACATATGAAAGGCCCCTTGGAGCTAGTGACCACGTAGTTATGAGCTTTCAATACATCATGGAGCTAAAAGTGGAGAGGGCAACAGGAGTAGAAAGGGAAAAGCTAAACTATAAAAGGGGGGACTACACAGGAATGAGGACCTACCTGCAGGAGGTTCAGTGGGAACAGGAGTTGGTAGGAAAATCAGTAAACGAAATGATGGACTTTGTAACAACAAAATGCAAGGAGGCAGAGGAAAGGTTTGTTCCCAAGGGTAACAGAAATAATGGGAAGGACAGATCGAGCCCTTGGTTTACCCGAAGGTGCAGGGAGGCAAAAACTAAGTGCTCTAGAGAATGGAAAAAGTACAGAAGGCAAAGGACTCTGGAGAATAAAGAGATTAGTCGACGAGCCAGAAACGAGTATGCACAGATAAGAAGGGAGGTGCAGCGGCAGTATGAAAATGACATAGCATCGAAAGTCAAGTCTGACCCGAAACTACTCTACAGCCACATCAGGAGGAAGACAACAGTCAAGGACCAGGTAATCAGGCTGAGGAAAGAAGGTGGGGAGCTCACAAGAAACGACCATGAGGTATGTGAGGAGCTCAACATGAGATATCAGGAAGTATTTACAATGGAGGCTGAAGGGACAACAGGGAGACAAAACAGTGGGGTACAGCAACAAGGAATATACCAACAAATGTTTGATGAATTACACACAACTGAGGAGGAGGTGGAGAAGCTCCTAAGTGACCTTGATACCTCAAAGGCGGTGGGACCGGACAACATCTCTCCGTGGGTCCTTATGAGAGGAGCAGGACACTACCTGTGCCACTAACCAAAATCTTCAACACTTCCCTTGAAACTGGGCAACTACCTGAAGTATGGAAGAAAGCAAATGTAGTCCCCATCTTTAAGAAGGGAGACAGAAATGAAGCACTAAATTATAGACCAGTGTCACTGACATGTATAGTATGCAAAGTCTTGGAAAAGATTATCAGGAGGAGAGTGGTGGAGCACCTGGAGCGGAACAAGATTATAAACGACAGCCAGCACGGATTCATGGAAGGCAAATCCTGTGTCACAAACCTACTAGAGTTTTACGACAAGGTAACTGAAGTAGGAAATGAGAGGGAGGGGTGGGTTGATTGCATTTTCTTGGAATGCAAGAAGGCCTTCGACACAGTTCCTCACAAGAGATTAGTACAGAAGCTAGAGGAACAGGCATGTATAACAGGAAGGGCACTGCAGTGGATCAGAGAATACCTAACAGGGAGGCAACAGCGAGTCATGGTCCGTGATGAGGTATCACAGTGGGCGCCAGTGATGAGCGGGGTCCCACAGGGGTCAGTCCTGGGACCAGTGCTATTCTTGGTATATGTGAACGACATGACAGAAGGGATAGACTCAGAAATGTCCCTGTTTGCAGATGACGTGAAGCTAATGAGGAGAATTAAATCAGATGCGGACCAGACAGGTCTACAAAGAAACCTGGACAGGCTGGATGTGTGGTCCAGAAACTGGCTCCTAGAATTTAACCCCGCCAAATGCAAAGTCATGAAGATTGGAGGAGGGCAAAGAAGACTGCAGACAGAGTGTAGGCTTGGTGGCCAAAGGCTGCAAACCTCACTCAAGGAGAAAGACCTAGGAGTGAGTATAATACCGAGTACATCGCCAGAAGCACACATTAACCAAATAACTGCTGCGGCATATGGGCGCTTGGCAAACCTGAGAATAGCATTACGGTAACTCAGTAAGGAATCGTTCAAGACTTTATACACTGTATACGTCAGGCCCAGTTTGGAACCCACACCTGGTCAAACACTTCAAGAAATTAGAGAAAGTGCAAAGGTTTGCAACAAGGCTAGTTCCACAGCTAAGGGGAATGCCCTATGAAGAAAGGTTAAGGGAAATCGGTCTGACAACACTGGAGGACAGGAGGGTCGGGAGACATGATAACGACATACAAAATACTGCGTGGAATAAACAAGGATGTTCCAGAGATGGGACACAGAAACAAGGGGTCACAATTGGAAGCTGAAGACTCAGATGAGTCAAAGGGATGTTAGGAAGTATTTCTTTAGTCATAGAGTAGTTAGGAAGTGGAATCGTCTGGCAAGCGATGTAGTGGAGGCAGGAACTATACATAGTTTTAAGACGAGATATGATAAAGCTCATGGAGCAGGGGGAGAGAGGACCAAGTAGCGGTCGGTGAAGAGGCAGGGCAAGGAGCCGAGTCTCGATCCCTGCAACCACAATTAGGCAAGTACACACGCACAGACACGCACACACACATGCACATACACACGCACACTTCTCACACACACACACACACACACACGGGCGAAAGGGACTACTTAGTAGGAACAATCCAGTCTGAGGGACATAAGGTGATAATTGCAGTAATGTACAACCCACCACAGAACTGCAGGAGGCCAAGAGAAGAATACGATGAGAGCAACAGAGCATTGATCGACACACTAGCCCAGGTGGCCAGGAGAGCACACATGGGGGGAGCAAAGTTACTAGTTATGGGTAATTTCAATCACAAGGAGATTGACTGGGAAAACCTGGAGCCCCATGGGGGTCCTGAAACGTGGAGAGCCAAGATGATGGATGTGGGCCCATGTGGGCGGGGCAAAGATATTGGTGGTGTGTGTGTGACTTCAGTCACAAAGAAATCGACTGGGAAAACCTGGAGCCACATGGGGGCACAGAAACTTGGAGGGCCAAGATGATGGAAGTGGTACTGGATAACCTCATGCATCTACATGTTAGGGATACTACAAGAGAGAGGGGAGAAGATGAACCAGCAAGACTGGACATAGTATTCACCTTGAGTAGTGCAGGTATTGAGGGCATCACATATGAAAGGCTCTTCAGAACTAGTGATGATGTGGTTCTAAGCTTTGAATACATAGAGTTACAAGTGGAGAGGGGAGCAGGAAGGGCAGGATGAATGAAGCCAAACTACAAGAGAGAGGACTAAACAGCATGAGGAATTACCTGCACAAGGTTCAGTGGGACAGAGAACTGGCAGGGAAATCAGTAAATGAGATGGAATATGTGACAACAGTATTCAAGGAAGTGGAGAAGAGGTTTGTACCCAAGGGCAAGAGATATAATGAGAAGGCCAGGATGAGCCCTTGGTTCATCCAAAGGTGTAGAGAGGCTAAAACCAAGTGTTCTAGGGAATGGAAGAAGTATAGAAGGCAGAGGACCCAGGAGAATAGTTGAAGAGCCAGAAATGAATATGCACAGGTAAGGAGGGAGGCCCAATGATAAGCAAAAATGATATAGCAGTGAAAGCCATGTCCAACCCAAAGCTGTTGTACAGCCACATCAAGAAGAAAACAGTCAAAAACTAGGTAATCAGGCTGAGGAAGAGTGAAGGGGAGTTTACAAGAAACAACCTTGATGTATGGGAGGAGCTCAACATGAGATTCAAAGAAGTATTCACAGGAGACAGAAAGGGGAGGTGGGGTATGCTATCAAGTGCTGGACACGAACATACAACTGAGGAGGTGGTGAAGAGGCTGCTAAGCGAACTAGATATTTAAAACGCAATGGGGCAGGATAACATCTCTCCTTGGGTCCTGAGAGAGGGAGCAGAGGTGCTCTGTGTGCCACTAACAACAATCTTCAACACATATATCAAAACAGGGTACTGCCTGAGGTATGGAAGGCAGAAAATGTAGTCCCAATTTTTAAATAAAGAAGATAGACATGCAGCTTTAAACTACAGACCAGTGTAACTGACATGTATAGTATGTGAAGTCATGGAGAAGATAATCAGAAGAGTGGTTTAC